CATTCTTCTCAACGGACTACTAATTCAGAAACTATGAATTGCATTTTGTACAGATTTTGCATACGTCGTCTATAATTAGCATGTAAGTTTATTTTTACTTGCTTTGATGGACCCCGATGGTTCTTTAATAAAAATTATTATTATTAAATTATATAACAGAAATATCCTCAGGTCGTCACTGCCGTGACGCTTTGCATTGGCCGGTTATTGCGGTATAGGATAATACTGCACGCGTTTCAGTTGAGTGAAGCAACGGGGCTTGTTCCACCTCATTGCACAATTTCATTAGGGCGCCCGACGACACATGATATTGAAAACGTCCTCTGTAATATAATGATCCCTAAACTGACCAATGCGCCACACACTATCCAGTGTGCACGTTGTTGTTGAATTACTAACCCTCTTGACCAGTCGTGTTTCCGCAAGGTTTTAACACTTATCTACGCGTAATTGAGTATCCTTTTCTTTAATTTATATTTCTCAATCCTATGTATATTTAGTGATGGAAACGAACTGGAAGTTGATATGTGCACATCTAAAGTTCCCTCGCATAAAGCAAACTGCATTGCTTAATTTGCTTAGATTTAAATTACTCTGTCGATTCATGCGATAGCCGGCAACATTGACTGTTTGGCGCAACCACTCTCTCGTCAAATAGGATTGCGGAGCCAGATGAGGCCCGGTGACACTAACTACAGCAAAACGTACATCAAACTCACGATTATAAACGCCAGTGGTAGTTGGCGTATCTGATAAACGACGCTATTTAATGGGAGCTGCGCATACGAATCTCTGGTCCCAGATGAATGGCACCCAAAATAATTATTTCCAACCTTAGAACAGAAATCATTCCTCTATAGGTTGACTTTCGGCAGGATTCATTCTAAATAAAACTACGGAAGATAAATAGAAACAAAGCATAAAGGAACTTTTTAGATGTAATGAAGAACATATACGAATGAGCAAGATAACATCGATTGTCTCCTTTTACTGGAGCGATATTTTGGCGGATGAATCAAATTGCAGCTTTGAAGGTCGTCACTCCGCCGTTACACCTTAGGTTTTTCTCATGCTGTTTGACGACTTACCTGAACCAGTCGCTGAGAGTTTGATCCCTTTATTCTTTTTCACGCAATGCAGGTAAAGCACAAAAGCGAATATTAGACCCCTCGGAGCCGGAGAATACTGCTGTTGATGAACCGAAGAGACCCTCGCTTCGTAAGCGTTGAATCGCATTCCGAATTCAGAAGGTTTATTTCGAGTTTTAGCCGCTCGTGCCGCTCAGAAGGGTGAAAGGCCGGAGATGCAAGATGAGAGCTTGGTCAACTTGGACTTCCGCGAAACCATGCAGAGTAGAATTTCAGGTGAAGTGTAGGAATTGCTTTTGAACCCAACTGGACCCATCATTTACGCGTTTTACAGCCAAAGGGTCAACCTCTTTGCCGTGTTTGATGGCCATTCTGGTGCGCGGGCGGCCTCTTTTGCTAAGAGAACTCTCCCGATGAAGTTATCTCAGCGTTTCCCGTCCGGTACCTCACTCGCATAAGTGTTAATACCTCTTACCATCAAATCTCTCTACCATAGGTGGCATGGCTCAGATCGAAAAGGATATCAAACGAATAATTGTCGACGCATACAAGACAACTGACGAGGAATTTTTGAAGGAGGCCACGAGACAGTATGTCGTTCATAAAAACGTTATTGGCATGATGTGTAGACTCCTCTTTCCGCTCTGTAAAGCAGTTTTGACCCTTGATTCGCGGTATGGTATCTATCTGTGGCTTTTGTTAGTTTTCTGCGGTGGAGTTTACCAATTTTGTGTCAGGGGCTAGTGCCTTAACAAATGTTTTCTAATGAATCTTACAAAATAGAGCGTTTTCGAGAAAAAGTATGTAGGTAGAATTGCTGATTTGATTCAGCTTATCGGTGTGCTAACCCCATGAGTTTGTTAAGTGATTAGTTATACTAACTGCCCACACAACACAAGGGGGTTTGGGACGCTAAAGTAAGCATTTAATCATGTCCAAGGAGCCGCTCACAAATAAGCTGACCGTCATGCTTTTTATGTTTGAGGCGAAGGCTATTTCGTCACGGTCTCTATTTTACTGAACATGGCGGTTTTATCACTTGCATCCTTGCGATTGGGAACAGCGAAACGTAGAGTAACTTTAATCGTGACTCGGCCTTGATTACATCCCACTGTCCAAGATGGATGGCTCTGTGGCACATAACGTTACTCTTGAACTTTACGGAAGCACAAGCTGACAGCATGTTGAGACCCACTTATACCGATCAAGGATTCATACAGGTAATCCCCTGCATCCCGATTAGCACTTAATTCATAAAGCGCATCCACCGTACAAGTAAATATCATATAAACAAGCACAAGGATAACTTCGACTAATGAGCGAGCTTAGCTTCGAGTCTTAAGTTGGGAAGATCCTTAACTTTGCGACTACTCCAAAGAAGCATAATTACCCCCAGGCTAGTTTACGATTAAACAAAAAATACTACCATGGGAATGTAAACACTTCGACCTTAACTCAGTCTGTTATAATCGACGAATTCCTCCCTACTGACCCTTTTCTTTCACTTTATCCACTAGACCGCTCAGCCGGAACCAGCCTCACTATACTGGTTCGTATAGTGAGCTTGGAAGGCTGCGAAGTGGTCGCGTAACTCACTCCTCATAGAGGTATCTTATAGTGACTGGGAGACTGAAAATCTGGCTGAAATGACACCTTCGTGTGGTTTTTATGGTACTCATGCACATGTAGTATCCAAGTTGCCTGTGCCAAAGCCTGGTACATGCTGTGGAGACCAGGTCCTGTGTGGCACACGCGGACGAACTGTCCAACCGTGACGGCCAATGTGCCCGCGCCCACATCCGATCGTCTTGACTTTGCTCTGTCATCACATCAGAGTGGGTGAGAGAAGGGAGTGCGGCAGATGCGGCGCAAGTCTGCTCCACTATAAATTAACTCTTGCACAACTCACAGGTGCTGTATAGCGACCGAGAATATTGAGGATATCACAGACGGATTAATATAGTGCACCTTGGGTAGATTCCAGCGCAGAAATAACTTAACAGGATTGTTGATCAGGTTTTCGTGAATATACAGACGGATAGAGTAGAAAGGAGTTAGATGTACGACAATGTCTTGCTAAAGACAGAAGAAGCTTTAGATATAATACAACAGTAGATAATACTAGAAACGAGGGTCTGTCGCATCATGGAATGTTCCGTCTGATTGTGGGGATGACATCGACTTATAATCTAAAAAACCGACGGAGAGTACAGCTCAATGGGCAACTGCGCAAAAGGGCCGTGGGAGGTGCTTACGAGGGAAAATAGAGAGCGTTGAGGTAGTAGTGTCAAAGATTGCGGGGGGAAGGAACACCGGCCATCTTCACCGATACGCTGTTACGCCTTTCCCATCGTGGAACCCGCCAAAATGCAAGCCTATCCCGATTCTGTGGGGCGTTCCAGCTGCACTCACTTCTTGCCACGCACGGTGGACTTTATTGTTTGCAATAGTCAGACTACCATACTTGATATCTTGACCGAGACGCGCAAGCTGCTGGGCATATACGATTCTGACACATTGACGTCGTTAGTTGAGTGTGCAAACGTATCGGTACTAGTTCGCAACATCTACGCTAGATTGTTCACACCTTTTCAGGGTAGATTACTAACTTGGACTGAAAGGATCAGCGTTCGCTTTCGTTTCAGCCAGCTTTCGCCTTCCATCTACTTGGTGTTCTCAACAGCTAACAGGAAAGTCATTAGTGCAGTATGTACCCCGTCAGGTAAGAGACTATGCACAGTCTTCCAGTATTGCAAGTGCGCAAAATTTAGTAATCCTCAAGATTACAAGTAATGACTTACCAAATAAATTTCCTAAACAAGAATGCTTCAACAACCGTCTGAAGTCCTCTTAAGGAGGGCATATGTATTGTTGAGTTCTGTTTGCCTCTAAAAAAGTTACTATAGAGGTTGTCGTTTGTGGATTACGCAAGGGTTCAACGGCATACTATAAAGAGGAACGAGCTCTAACATCTCTGCAATAGGCGCTCTCAGGGCAGCTGTCAGATGTGGGGCGATGTGAAGCTGCGTCTGCACTCTGATACTACGGGACCTTTATGGTAACGAGAGCGGACTAGTAAACTATTCCAGAGCCCTACTAACAACCAGTTTCGGCTGCTTACTGAGAATGTGAAACTATTTAAAATCGCACCCAAACATAAGGCGATGTGACGAATTGAGGTAGGCCGCAATCCTTTCCCCAACAAAGTCAACCGACCTACCATCTGTTGTCCCGTTAATCATTCTAGTGCAGTCTTCTTCAACAGGGTTTGTACTACCTAGAGGACCAGCATAGGACTATGAATCCCAGTCAGTCTATTCGTAAAAGTAATCATGCTTTTCTAATTTATCCACAACACCAGAAAGCGTGATCGCTGTGCACAGCAATAGTGACAGTGTTCTTGCCGTTTTCTTAGATCTCAACAGGGCCTCTGACACAGTTAGCCATCACTTGTTCATGACAGTTCGACTGTCGTGACCGAAGATATCCACCGTGTGCTCCACAGCTGGATGAGAGCAGACACGGGGACTTTAGCGCGGATTCGTCTATAATGGCAGTAGACCTGCACATCATCTACCGCACTCTCTCCTCCCCCACTTGGATGCGGTGTCAAGACAGATTCGAGAAGGCCGGATGCGGGGGAGGGCATAGGTGGCTGGCGCGACAAAACCTCCTACCTTGGCGTACCACTACACGCCCTGGTCTACAAATAACACGAGGACTTTAACCATTAACAAAAGTGGGAGGACGGCAGGGATCCCAATGTGCGCGACGTGAGCCGGCAACTGGACCTGTCGCCACACCCCGAATGTTGGCATTTGTTATAAGTGTGAATTTCGATAACGCTTGCCAGAATCCAATCTAGCCCCTGTGTTGGTTCAGCGCATCTGCCACGTCACCCGTTTTGGGAGTACAACTTGTTCATACGGTGTTTCAAATCGGCGTTTTAACCAGGAACACAAAGTGCGGCATGGACTATGTTGCTTGCCCACACTGGGGCTCATCAAAAACCTATAGTAGGATCTCAGTAGGTCCCAGTGTTAGAGGAAGAGCTCCCTCGGTCGACATTGTAACGTTTTTATTTCCCCCCTTATATCCTTGCTTTTGTGTATGAAATTCACCTGAGAGTACGTAGAGAAAGTTTTTTTGATTACTGCGGACAATCCCTCCTCACCAACAGTCGTTTCTCACTTTTTTTAGACGGCCGCATTGGAAGGACGGGTCGACTGCATCACTGGTACTTCTCGTCAACAATGTCCTTTATATATCAAACATTGGCGACTCGGGGGTGAGTGTCCTCTATCTCCTTGAAAACCGCGCTCTTCTTTTCTACTGATTATTTGTCTCCTTTACAACTGTTCGGTCAATGATGCTACTTCTGATAAGGTTTTCTGACAGTCTGCCACTCGCCGGCCTTACCTACTAACTTGTCAGTGTTGCGAATCAGGCCAAAACGCGGTGCATCTGTTTGGCACAACATCCGGGAGGATGGCGAACGAATTTTTCCATCGTCTTTTCTGCGGACAGTCAAAACTGATTTAGGCACTTGTTCGTGAATAAGTCTTTGCATATGATGGGGGTTTCGCAGCCCCTTTGACTCGACAGCGTTAAAATAATTATTTGGACGGTCGTGTCTAGCGGACGTAGACGAGCCCTGATAAGGGTTAGTGGTTTGAGCTCATGCAGCAGCACAACCTCAGGTATTTTCTGATCAACAAAGCTGTGACTCGATTCGCTAGGTCTGCTAATACATGCACAGGGGGTTTTAAAAGCACTCTCGGAACCCTTATCGTATGAACGCTTAAGCCCAACCGACAGTGCAAGAGCCCAAAAATTCCTCTACATTTCTGTTTTGGAAAGTCGCTGTAGGGAACGGTCGCGGATCAATTCAACATGGGATCATATTTTTTCCATTTGGTTACTTCTGGACCTGGTAGTAGGGGTCATCGTTATTATAAGTTTAGCTGATCATCAGAACGTCGCCGTACATATTTTCTGTCTTAAACCTATCTGACGTTCATCAGTGACCGATCTGGGTCATAACAGCGAGATTCCTCACCTTTCGAACTATTTCACAAATTGCATACTTTGGTGTTCTCAAACCTTTAGACACAACTCCTGCTATTCCAACTTCTTACCCCAGTGACCTTTTTGATATCTTCTTCCAACCTCTATTCCCTCTCTTCGTCGTTAGTCTTAATCGTCTCGCATTTATTCTCATAACTAAATTCACCCTCCCCTGCTCCTACTCCACACCAGCAGCCGACCTGCACGCATATCGGTCTAGCAGTAAATGGTTGTCCTGATATGGAAATTCCGTGTCTCGGAGTCACCACCGCAATATCTATGTCGTTTTGATCGCGATGGCAAGAATCTTTTTCTCCTGACGTTTCTGTTTCATGTTTGAACCCATAATCATGGATATAGAGCTAGACAAAGATACAGTTGCTGCACAAGCACATAGCTGCCAAAATTAACAACTACATTCGTCATCGGTGTCTGTAGTCGAAATGATAATTGATTGTTTGCCTTTGTCCTGTTATGATTTTTTTACCTTTGCCGCTCGTCAACGTGATGATTACTCTGTCTGTGGGAGGCTCAGTGCTATGCTCTTCGACAGTATTCATCTAGACTGCCCGCTGTTTATTGGTGCAGGCAAAAAAGCTGAATATAGGAGATAGGTCATTGTGTTTGGTGGTGGGCGATGGGCAGGACGACCGTAGTTCAAGCAGCCCTCAACTCACCTGACTGTTACCTCTCACAAGGATCACAGGCGGGTGCTCATTGCTTGAGGTTTGACGCTCACTCCACTAATGATGCATGTTCGGCCATCCTCTGACGAAGTAATTTTCCCATCACCTTCGACATGACTGATCTGCCCTAAAGTGTCTAAAAGGCGTATTGCCATAGCAGGGGCCTTTCGGTCTCACCACTACACTTTCGATAATTGCCCCTGGCTTACATCCAGCCCAACTGTCAGCGGTGTGAGAAGACGCCCGGCCGCGTTTGCCAAAGATTTAGTCTGCTCTCTTTTGTGTACTTACTGTCGACCAAATTGAGCGGGCAGGCATTTGCCCTGGATACTCGTCGGAATTAATGCAGTTCTACAGTCTCGTCTGTCGGTTCACTGCAGTGCGTTTCAATTCTACGATAGAGCTGTGTTTCTGGATGCTTATGTGGCGGCTGTTGTCTCTCATTTCTTACGTAGCGTTTGTTACTTTTCTGGAAACTTTGGCTTTAGACCAGTGCGGTCTTTGCGACCGAAGAGGACGTCAGCCAGCGTGCAATGTTTTTCCGGAGACTGCAGTATTTTGCCCGGTCTTCTGACTTGTCATGACAGTGTAATCTGAATGGAACAGTATCGTCACGGTCACCGTCAACGACATCTACCACTATCTTAGATGCAAAGCACAGACTACTTCATAAAGACGATAATTTTTAAGAACTCCCAAGCCCGACAATATCGGGTAGTGACGAAAACTGTAACACTTCCAGCAATTATACCGTACCGCCACAAGCACATGCGCCAGGATTGAAGCGGGCGGAGGCTGAAAACGCGACCGCACTGACACAACCCAAGCCAGTCGGAAGAGTGGTAAGTAGGGGCTTTATGATGGGGGAAGTTGTAACCTAGAAAGCAAATGCAGAGGTCAGAATAAGGCAAGTCATAAGTATGAAGAAAGTTGTTTAGGTACGCTAGTTCAGTTTGCAAACCAGCGCACAATTTGACAAACTGTGTCTCGAAATGTCTAGCGGGTCGCCAACCTCTGAAAAGCGACTAATTTCTCGAAAATCGGACGAATCAACGATGGTCATTATTTTTAATCAATTATTAATTTAGCCGATTTTGTTGAATTTAATTATTATTGTTATCAAATTGATGAGTACTCAGCCAACGATTATTGAAACATTGGACATAACCCTAATACTAACTATGACACTAACCCGATCTTTCAACCCTTAACTTTACCTGACCCTAGTCGTAAGCTAGCCATAATTTTTAAACCTATGCCCAATTTCGGGCCCTAACCCTTAACCCAAACCATAGCCGTAACTCTTAACCTAAGCCTATCCCAAATCCTAACCTTAACCTGGTCTGTGAACCCTAATCTTTGCTCCAACCCATAATTTTTGAGCCTAAACGCAACCCTTATTTTTAAACCTTAGCTCTAACCCTAATCATTGAAGCCTAAATCCAACACTAGCCCTAAGCCTAGATCTAATCTTTAACTTCTGACACTTACTCTCAAACCTGACGTCAACTCCAAAACTAACCCTAACCCTTATCTCTGAGCCCTAACCTTTAAACTCTAGTCCTAATACAAATTCGGCACGCCCACTCCGACCGCCAGGACCGGCAGACAACAACAAGAAATGCCAACAGCCGGTAACCCAATCCCCACTCGAAGCAGGCGGTAGACCCTCAGTCCTTGGAACAAGGGTAATTGCTAACCCTGTCCCCCTCATCGTCCCTCACCACTAAAACCAGACATAATTCCGTAGACCCAAAATTTAGGAACTTGCTTCTGGGAGGAAGCCATACCGTCCCATTTTTCATGAACACCAGCACGCCTACCGAAAACAATCTCAGTAGTAACAACGGAAAGGAATCAAGACGTGCGGCCAAGTTGTCAGCCCCCACCGTAAAGCGACAGAAGTGGCAACTTTTACGCACGAATACGTCAACTCTGCCGAGTACCAGCTGACGGGTAGTAAGATTACGTTAACCTAGTAGCCAATGAGAACAAAACCAAGAATCTGGGTTACGCGTATGTCTACCCACAATCTGATGCTACGCTGGACGTGGAGGGAAAAAAATAGTGAAAGAACGCTCTTCCAGGGGGGCACTGTTTCAGCGAGCATTTTAATCAACCGCAGGAAGTCTCGATATTGTCAGCCTGCGATTCGTTCAGCAAGTTGCATATTCTTCTTTTACCGATGGTATCAACGTCAGTCCTGCGAAGTTTGCCTTTAAAAGGCCAAATCGGTGGTACCGTTCAGTGTTTGACAACTAACACCATAGCCCATGTTCCAGGCGGACATCACAACTTCACATGCTAACATTTGTGACCGTTTGTGAAGTGCGATGCCGCCAGCTTCCTGCCCGCGGTGAACCCCCCAGGTTATGATTCTGATTAAAACGATTTTAGATACCATTTCCCCCCTGTCTCTTCTAATTTTCCTCATGAGCATAATTTGTGTCTAAACGAGTTGAACCTTCCTCTCACCTGTTTCTGCAGGTTGTGCTTGGTCGAATTCGAGACACTGAAAAGGAGTCCTCAGGCAAGCATGCGACGCCAACTACCAAGGATACTGATGACAGAGAGCGACACGTTCCCGAGAAAACTGCGTCTCTTTACGCTGTCTCACTGACGAGGGATCACACGCCCCTTGAGTACGAGGAGCGCCAACGCATTCTTAAGTTCGGGGCCACCGTGTTGAACGGACGCATAAACAATGCCATCGAAGTCAGTCGCTCATTCGGTGATTACCAGTTCAAGAAGCAGGGCGTCACCTGCATACCTGACGTCAACAAATATGACCTTACAAGTGATGACAAGTAAGTCCTACCTTCCACATTACCCTCCTCCTCCTGTCCTAGCCTCTGCACCTGTGCTGTTCGATTCTGCATTAGAACGCGGAAGATGCTCCCAGGAGCCTCTAGCGTTTAATTGGTTTTATTCGAGTTGTTATTTGTGCGTGGACCTTTCCTCGTCTGCCTTATGCTGGTCTTCATGCAATCGTCCATTCTTGCCTAATACGGAATTATTCGCAAAAATCCATATAATAAGCGTTTGACGCACATCCTCCGTGACTCTTTTCTGTTTCATGCCACTAGTGAAAAATGCACCGGTTCTATTTCTTACATTCTGTCTGCATATTCTCGATGATTTCGGTACAATGTGTTTCGTCATGAAGACAATCCTTTGCACCGGTTAGGTTAAGCAGCGTATGCTCGTCGAATTGGCGACTTCATGAAACCGAACCAATTCCTCTTCATAGTTTGGGCTAGCGTTGGGCCACTGCACTGTTCAGCTTGTGCAAATTGACATTCTCGAAACAAATATTTTCAAATAGGGACTTCGTTTAGGTGGTAGACGTCGTATCTTCAAGGTGGAGTGCAGACTGAACCGTTTGATTTCCGGGGACAACAGTATTATCCTTCAGCCCGACGCCATTAGGTAAGTACCGTCAAAAATGGCAGGAGAGAGAGAGAGAGAGCTCTTACACGAACTTACCGGTGGCTAAGGCGTACCAATTACGCCACACAATCAAGTTGTTGAAACTGGAGAAGTCAGTTTGAGGTGGAAGTACATTTTTGGTTAGTCATCTTGCATGCGTAAACAAGACGAGAGACTAGGCCACCTTTTGGCTAGCACTCGAATATGTTAGGAAAGTCTCGGAAGCGGTTAGCCACCTTAAATCACTTGCATTTGAGGTGGCACACAGATCAGATGCAAATATCAGGCGTCAAGAAATGAAATCAAAAGATTTACTCCAACGGCAGGACATGTCTGCAGTCGTTTACTGGACCTGGTGCAGTTTCGGGCAAAGCAACTATTTTGGAGAAAGTGGGGGATGATCCTGGATACGGATGATCGAACAGGCAGCCTCAGTGAAGCGGAGTAGCGCCAGTTCTCAAGTCGCAGCTCTTTCGGCAGGATCCGATCACATCTTTAGATCTGACTAGATCGATTTTTTTCAAGAGGTGACAACCACGTGGACTGTGAGCTGCTAAATTCGTGGTTCTCCGGCCGATGGCTGATTAGCAACTGCAACGGCCTCCGCCCTCCTTATTCAGCGCAATAACTTTGCCTGTTCAGAATAATTAACCATGTGGCAAAGACGCAAACGAACAACGCTTCCAATGACAGTATCGGTGGGTCTAATTGTCGAGTCGCTATCACTCCAGTAATCAATATCAGTGACGAAATTACGGCATTCGGCGACTCGGATGTGGACGAGTAAGCAATCCCCGTACCAGTTACCAACATCGGGCATTGACGCAGGGACTGCATGCATGTGGTTGCATGCAACCGCACCCTATAAATCCTGAGCCCCTTTGCGTTCGTCACCCTGTCTCTGACGGTGGGTTCAAGTGAGAACGTCGGGCTGCTAAAAGTCTCTTTTCAATGATGAATGTAGTTGTATAAACTCCATCTTTCCTAACGGGTCATGTGTCTGGCCCCGCCGGGTATAGGTGTGAATTGCACTATAGCTTGCAGACTGCAGATACTGTGCCTCGCAAAGTTATTACGAGAATAACGCCTCAGTCCAGTTTTATTAAGGGAAAGACAGGCGAATGCCTTTGAGCCCCCTATTAGTCGCATGGACGCCACAATCGTCCACCTCTACAAGTGCAAAGGAAACTGCAAAATCTGCGACAACCACCGAGGCGTCTCCCTGCTGAACATCGCCGGGAGGGTCTTCGTTAGCATCCTTCTCAACCGCCTGAACAGGATCTTATGCCGGAAAGCCAGCACGGCTTCCGTCTTCGTCGTGGGATCACCGGCATGATCTTCGCCGCCCGTCAACTGCAGGAGAAGTGTCAGGGGATGCGGACCCACCTTCGTGGATCTGACGAGCGCCTTCGAAACGGTGAATCGCGAAGGACTGTAGAAAATCATGCAGAAATTCGGCTGTCCCGAACGACTCACTCAAATGGTGCTTCAGCTCCACGATGGTATGATGGCGCGAGTCACAGACAATGGAGCTGTCTCAGAGGCATTCATAGTGACCAACGGATTAAGGCAGGGCTGCGTCCTCGCGCCTACCCTCTTCAGTCTCACGTCCTCTGCCATGCTGATGGACGCCTACCATGACGAACGCCCTGGGATCCTCATCGCTTACAGAACGGATGGCCACCTCATCACAGGCGGATGCGCTTCTAATCGCGTTATCCATAACTGCCGTTCATGAACTTCTCTTCGTCGACGACTGCGCCCTCAACACCACCTCGGAAGGGGACATGCAAAAGAGCATGGATGTCTTTGCCGCCGCCTCTGGAAAACTTTGGCCTGGTCATCAACATGGATAAGACGGTGGTCGTGCATCAACGCCAAACTAAAGGTGTACAGGGCAGACGTTCTGCTGACTCTGCCGTATGGAACGGAGACCTGGACGGTCTACAAGAAGCAGGCGCGGAGACAATCACTTCCACCTCACCTGTCTTCGACGGATACTGCGGTGGAGATGACAGGACCGAACCCCATACAAGGATGTACTGGCATGGACGGGAATCCTCATCATCTACGCCATGCGGAGACAACTGTAAGTGTGTTAGAGCGGCCTCCTCGTGCGGATGGAGGACGAGCGGGTACCCAAAAGACATGTACGGAGATGTCACCGCGGGTTCCTGCCGCCAAGGAGGCGAGATCTGTCGCCACGAGGACACTCTGAAGACTTCCCTGAGGCGTCTTCAGATCAACCCGGCCGATTGAGAAGACCTCGCTCAAGACCGACCGTCCTGGGGGAGGACAGTGAAGACGGGCACAGCGATCTAAGAAGCCAACCGTATCACCGCCGCCAAAGCCAAACGCGAGACTCGTAAATCTTAACTGCACCCGCAACGCCAACGCTCAATGGCCCCCGACCCGCCCACGCTGCCAGCGGACCTTCCGGGCACCAATCGGCCTTTTAGGACATCTTCGTGCTAGCTGCAGCACCCGGACTACACCAGCCGCTGACCCCCCCCCCCCGTCAAACTCTTCCTCGTCTCCAACACGGACAACTAACACTGACTGCAATCCCGAGCCCCCTTCTACATCGCCTTAACATCTGCTGCGGCGGCTTCCGTACCCACTACCCCTATACACAATCCAGACGCGCCAAAAAACACAAACATTAACCGTCACCGTGATGGCTAACGATGTGGACTCGGTCGATACGTGTCCTTATTGCGACTGCACCTTCACCTCACGCATCGATCTGGCCGGTCACTTGTGAATCCATCTCACAGAGACTGGTGAACCAGTGCCTGAAGCACCAACCTACACTCGCCGCAGTCGCCTCCACTGTCCACACTGCCCCCGCACCCTCACTCACCGCATGGGTCTATTTGGTTTGACACACCTAGCACCTCTTGCACGTCCATCATGCTTAGCTCAACCCAAATCCCGCCGCCCAGCACGGCCATAATCAGCAGCCCCACCACTGCGACCATCTCCGAAGCCGACACCCCGACCCCTCCTGTCCACACTTCCCTGGTACATTCACCCCACGCGTCGGCCTGGTCAGTCACTTGCGAATCCATCTCACGGAGACAGGCGAACCAGTGCCCCGAGCACCAACCTACACCCGACGCATCCGTCTTAACTGCCCTCACTGCACCCGCACATCCATCCACTACATGAGCCACATGCACATCCACGAAAACCTGCGGTAGACAACTGCCGGCTATGCCAAACCATCACATCTTCCTCCACCAACACCTGAATCACACAACATCATCACCCACCATCAGCATCAAATTGCCACCTCCCGCGCATGGGGGAAGTGTACGTCTCGGCTCCGTCTCCATGCGGCTCCCAGGGGGCTGTTGAATGAAACGCCAGGGTGCGGGCTCGACCGTGCCATCCACCTGCGCCCTCCCCCGCCTCCGGTATTGACTGTCTTGACACCGGGCCTAGGTGGGTAAGGAGGAGAGAATGCGGTAGATGCAGCGCAAGTCAACTATCACTGTAAACTATTTCGCACACAAGTCACCGTCCCTGTCCCACCTTTTTGTGGGGCAAACGGTGGACATCGTCGGAAACGACGGTCGAACTTTCAGTCGCAAAAAAATCACCAGAACGTAAAGGACCCTGAAAAGGGGATTGTTTACATACAACAGTCAAGTGGCTGTGTTGGTCAAGCTTCCTTTTAAAAGTGTCCATGGATGGGGGCAGGACGACGTCCGCAAACGGAGCTTTCCGGGCCTTTATGGCTCTGTTAGAAAATAAAAACCTCCCTTGTAACGTTCTCACGTATTTGTGCGCAAACTCGTTACGTTCGACTCGGTCTTTCATTAGTTTAACAGGCATGCTAACTTCTACAAGTCGGGTGTATAGCTTGGCCGTATATTGTGCGTCCCCTAACACTAAAAGACTCGTGTATTGTCGAAGGTCCGCCAAAAGCCTCGTTCTACTTTTAAGGGGTCAATTTGACGTGAACGTTTGTTTCTGACTTATTATCTTCAGGCCCGTTATATTACTTTGCAACAAGGTATTACACCTGTGCGGATGACAAGGCAACTGGCATGGAAGGGACAGGAAAATATTTGCACGTGGCCAAGAACCCAAGTTGGACTCTCTCCTAGTGGACAAGGGTTCCTCTCGTAGATGGATTCAGTTCGGTCATTAGGTGGCGGAAGTGCTTGACTTTCATTATTCCTTCGGATTACCTCTTCATCCGTCTCATCCGTGCCCGTATTTCGAAAACATCTTCGTGCCCAACTTGAAACCTATTGCTAGTCGACCCTACTCCAATTCTGTCATAGTCTCTAGCACTTTCTCGTGTCCCCATAATAGTCCTCATGAGAGTGGTTCTTCATCGCCCTGGATGGGACATTCTCGCTCCTCTTTCGTCTTGTAGTTAGAGAATAGGGCCCTCGTTGGCAGTCGCCCTCTTGAAGCAATCGATGGTCTAGAAGGAATACTATCGCGGTACTACTGACAAAGGTGGAGTCGGGCCTCGGAGGTTCACGCACAGAACTTGTTTAGCGAGAAAACGGCAAGAATATATATATCGGAACTGGTCGAAAGTGGATTTTGCCCACGTTGTACGCCGACTGGTTTCCTACTCAGTCGCATTCGTTCGCTTGGGTACCGCGCCGTGTATCCGAGTGCTAACCCCACCGCAAACTAGGATACGCGTTCAGCTTTAAGAATAGCCCTAGTTGTGCTGTGAAACACTTATAGTAGAATATTGCCTGTTTTTGCTGGGAAAGTAAAACATTATTTTCATCGAACACCACCTCTTGAACGCTCGCTTCCAGTCTGTCGGCTAAAGCTGCTCAAGAAATACCAAGTAACATCTGCTTAAGCCCCTTTCCTTTTCGGTACCTACCGAAATAGGCTATGGCCAATGACTGCATGGTTCAAGTGTGCCTGTGCAGTTTTCGTCACTCAAACACTGATACTTTTTAAAAGTGGATTTTTTTCGGTTTTCAGGTGAGAATTTAGAAAAGTCCACGCGGTTTAAACCCCGTAGATTGTTCGGCTGAAGACTGATGAATACCGAAGAATGGCCGTCTAGCGAGCTTGTCATTAAACGATTGCAGGTATGAGTTGAAAACGTCGTTGGACGTTAGCGTGTGGACACCAGGAAAAAGGGATACTGCTGAGGCCGCAAAAAATACTGTAGAAACGTCGCTTACTGGGTTGGAAAGATTTGGCTATTCGCAATTACGACCCTGCGTATGGTTACCATCTATTCTGAACGAGACCAAACGCCAGTCAACGGTGTCGAAACTGGGTCGTTAGTCCTAAATTCTTCTCGCTTGATTGCATAACGTGCGGTCTGTTTATCGCATGAATTCCCTTCAACAGTGAGGAAGTGAACGTCCGCTTTTGCGGAAATAGATAGACATTTTCGGTAGAAGAGCCTTTAAATTGTTATCTTACTCATACGAACAACAGGGGTTTTAAAAGTTGCTTTTGTTGAAATAAATAGTTAAAGCGAGAAGTTCATATCCGTCAACGGCATATACACGTAGCCTGTAAACATCGTCATTGCTTGGTACGATCAAACAGAGAATATAATTTAGCCAATAATTGCACTGTTGCTTTAAGGCAGAACGGTGTCCGTGAGTGAAAACAGGAAAACGGTGGCGGCTTTTTGACATTGAAGTGCATACTGAGTAGTATTTCGAACTTCAGTGTTGTTTAAGACTTGGGCATTGGAACCCGTAGGTTATTTAGTTAAAATCCTTAGTAGGAAAAACTGTCACACTCTTATTTCTACAAACTAAGTTTGCATAAAGAGGTTTTCTTAAGTTGTTGACTTCGCTGTTGATAAAATTTTTTCCAAAAACCTTTATTTAAAAAAACCTCTGAGTTCTGATGTTGGATGTTGCTTTTCGCCGCATTGAGTGCTTGAGGCTGTTTGTAAGTCAGCAACCATAGGGTCGTATTCGTAGGGACAAAACGAGCTTTCCCGTTTTGAGGGAGGTCACTTCGTGGCATGGACCGGATTACAGTTTAACTGCTGTAGGTTACGAATAACATGAAAGTGACTCCTCAGCGATAGAATTGCAGGAAGGAACGGGTTTGCTATGATTCGTCGTGGAATTCCAGTCACGCATTAACCAGAAACCAGTGTAGAAGCCATAGTGATGAAGACGGAAGATAAGGTGGCCATTTCTAACTTAATTTCGTCAAAAAGCAGCCGCGACGATCTGGCCCATTGCCAACTGGTTGTCGGGGTCATGAGACAGGGGTTCTACCACCTGAACCACGGAGTTCTCGCTTTGTCAACTGTAGTCAGTATTATGCATCTCATGAAGTCGAGGCCCCACCAGTCCGATTGTAGAAGGAATATAGTTATCCGATTTTGTCTTACGCCTGGTCCGGCGTTCCATGTTCTGTTTATCGTGCTGATGACGCAGCTATGCTGAAACTAACCACTCCATCCTCCCTCATATTTTTCGGTATTCAGCACGGTTCAGTTCATACAGATGTCATGTTACAGTACGCCCACACTACTTGCTCGCTCATTTTCCCCAAGCACTAGACCATCAATTACCTTTTTTATTCTACTGCCTTTCCTGAGTCCTTCAAATCCGTCATCTGCAACAATTTCTAAATTGGAGTATCTACCAGAAATCAGACGGGGAATGCTGGGGGACCCACTAATGAGCCTAACACCTCACAGCTGTGTCATGCAGCGGCAGAATATCGGCGAAACACGCGTGTATGGGCTTTTGGCTAGTAACTGCCCTGTTAGTATGCAATCCCCTTACCCTGCTGATTTTAGTCGTATTTTTGGGCGTTTGCTAAACTGTCTTTTAAATAGTTTTAAGTTATTACGGTGTGCTCTTTACTTTAAATCGAAAAGTTTCTCTGACGAGAACAAGATTGGCAGGGCAATTTTTGTCTGATCTGTCGTCATTAACCATGACTAGGGCTTGAAAGCCAAAGAAAACTGTTCGCTGCCGATAGGTGAGTGCTAATTAAATGGGAATTTGTTCACAAAACTGGCTGCAGTTGACTGTCATAGAGGGAGTACTGCAAAGTGTAATTAATTTTCGAAGCAGAAGCCACTCGTTTCCAGTTTGCCGAAAATATTCTAAACGTGCAAGCATCTTATTCGGAGGTTTCCTTGGATTTGTAGCTCAGACTACGCCTGTAGGAGCAAACTATGTGCAGAAGCAAAGACAATAGATCATAGGTTTTGTTCTAATTCACCTCTCTTTTCTCATTCCCTCTAGATTCCTCCTGATTGCTTGCGATGGTTTATGGAAGTGTTTCCCTCCCGACGAGGCCGTGGCCCTCACTAAACGTCTGTTGGCCGCAAATGACGTCAACCTAGACGTAAGCTCGGCTCCATATCTGTTTTTGAACATAATTTTAAGAAAATGATGTATTTGAGTGCAAGTGTTTGAATTAGTCGGTGTCCCCAGCACATTTTATACGCCCGTTAGCTCATCCTAGGGTAAATCACCGAACTCACGGTTAGAACACGCTTTCTGATAGTGTAAAATTACTACCTGGTAAAAGTCCTTGCCTGCATATAACAGGATTGTCGCTCAAACAACAAAATGCTATGGATTGAGTTATTCAGCTGGTTTAAATTACGACTGTGCTTCACGAATTTGGGCGTAGGTAGGTCTTACAAGTCTAGTAGTAAAGAGTTTCCCCAATTCCCATAGTACATACTGGCAAGCATGCTGCTGTCGTTAAGCAGGAAGTTCCTCCGCAAGTCCAATCAAAACGCTCAGACTATAGCAATCCTATTTATAAAGGCGGTTAAGTCGCGCGCCGGACAGTGTGGGAGGCGACTAACTGGAGAGATGCTCAGGCTACCCTTACCTCGTACCACTTTAGGGTTCCTGAATCGTGGCGAACGTCTACGAGTGGTCTTACTGAAGGCAACTTACATCGAAGTAACCTCTTCTGTTTTGAATCCTATGTCACTGCCTCACAAGCCCCCAGCGCATCTATTTGAGTACTTGTTGTACGCCAGTTCTACCAATCACCGACGATTGACAAGTGAGGTGTCAGACTTAAATCGCATAATCCGGTAACCACCGTCGATGCTGCCTCGGAATCGCATTTTAACCTCTATCAAACTAGGTCGTATTATAATTTGTAACTGTGAGACACTTCTTTAATAGTACTGACAGTTGACCTTGTTGAAGAATGATTTTTCTTTCTTAGAAACCTGGATGTGATCTCGTCGCACTGCAGCACTCCATTGACGCAGTCTGCAAACAGTTGGTCACTGAGGCCGTTCTCCGCTTATCCGGAGACAACGTCACTTGCATCCTCGTCCTTCTTCTTGACCCTGAGACAGCATATGGCTCATCCTGTAGCCCGTCCTCTCATCAGTAGCCTCTGCGCTCTCGCCCACTCTGAACTACAGAGACACAATCCACCTTATCATTTGCTGTCCGACCGCATCGGTTCACTTTTAGCTGTCTTCTTGCCTTTGTCTGTACACGCGCCTCGAAAAACGCTTGAATGGGAGCTTACTTTATGTGATTCGGTATTAGCATTTTCGTGCTAAACAACCACGCTTCGTTCCTTGTGGTTTTGTTTACTGACCGACTAGGACTAGTCGCCTGAAGAGAGGTATAATTTGGAGTATGCAGTTTCTGCTAGAAAGCCTTTGATCGCAAAATCAAAAACAGTTACTGCTTTATTATTTCGAGGACTAACAGTGACTGATTTGTACTGTTCGTGCACCAGTCCAGCACGCCCACCTAGCACTGGCAAATGCCCATGAGCCCCCCATCTATCTCAAGCTGCGATTGGACGCTCTGCCCGTTCGTATTATTTGCATATCAGCGCAAAGGACTTGAGAGAGGGACGGCTCATGAAAGTCAGTGCTTGTTTCGTCTTTTGTTTGCGAAAAAGACATCTCTAATTGAGCCATAACCGTCTGCCGTCTAACGGTTTATTATCTTTGATAGAAACTGCTAGCGGCAGTTGTGGAACGATTTAATAACAGTGTTGTATATTCCGTTTCCCGAAACCTTAGAGTTCCTCGGGTTTCTCTGTCCTTTCAGCAGGTGTACGATGACGAAAACTTCCGGAATGGATTACGTGGTCATCATCCGCATACTGACTGACGGTCTTTGTTGTTGTGCGACGTCCACATCTGATCATTGAGACAGTGGATCCGACATCAATTTCTGCTGGGGTGAACAGAGGGGGAAATTTTAGCTTGTGTCCTGCGATTGGCGCAGACGCCCAGTGACGTGGTCACGCGGGTCACTGTAGTGTGCACCAAGGTCACCATGACGCTTAGCTGTCTGAGTCGGGGTGCCAAATCATCAGGAATTCTCCCGACCACTATTCGCTTTCGACGGCGTGCCGATCTAGGCGACAGTCATTTTCAAGGTGTGCCCATAAATGTGGGGCAGAGGTCATGCCTTTAGATCAAGTAATAGGATCGTCACAACGGGGTCAATTGAAAATACTCCAAATCTGATATCCTTCATTGGGGATTCGGCCATCCAACGGTCTTTGGAGGGAGCTGCATCGGATCTTCGTCCGCTGCGTCGTTATATAGTGACGTTCAAATTTAACTAAGGGGTAATTAGTGCACGCATACTGCTTATTCAAGTCTGACAGCGGATAAGACATGTGCAGCCCGAAGGGTCAGTGTGTCATGGACACCCCACATTGCCTTGCACGCCCCGCACATCGGAAGCACGCAAATTCCGCAGAAGCCGAAGTTCTCCGGCCCGATCCACTAATGCGAGCAAATGATTCCATTTAGAAGCAGTCCATACTGGCCGACGCTTCGATATTTCCATCAATGGGCATAGGCTACCTGCCTCTCTCTAGATCTTCGCCGCCAAATATAGCCTGATTTCCTCTGAGATCTGTCAAACTCCAATTTGACTGACACATATCGCCTGACGCCGATTGGGTGCGCGAGTTTTATGATCATCCGTGGTGGATGCAGAGCGAAGCTGCGGTTTACGACCTCAGGCTGGGCGTTATATGCAGAAAGGACGGCTTTTACCACGAGTTCTACGAGACAGTCAGGCGCCTCGCAATGTCCATCCGCGTCTTTGCAGGTAATTTGAATTCCAGCACAGTGACATGCAATGAAACGAACGCGAGCTGTCGGCACTGCGCAGTGAGTAACCGTTGCGCGAGTAATGTCGGGGTAAATCACTTATCTGAGCTGAGCTGCTTGATCATCATGAATGCTCCGTTCGGTCGTCTCGTTAGGCCTCAAAGTCTGTTGCCACTCGAACAATACACCTCGTTAATTCAAAAGGCAATTTGGCGAATATACGTCTACTTTCAATAAATTCTCTTTAGGTGGGTACCGGCGAAGGTAATTACATGAGGGTGGTTGGCTTGGTTGGTCAAAGCCAACCACCCGCATGTAATTACCCACCTCCCTGACGCTGACTGGAGCTACAGCTACCCGAGCTACAGCTTAATTATCTATTTGCCGTGTCTTTTAATTCATTACTCCAATAGCCCTATAAATGTAAAGGCCCGAAGAGAATTTATCGAAAGCGGACGTATGCTCGCCAAATTGGCTTTTGAATTTTACAATGCGAATTTTCGCAATTCTTTAACACCTCGTTAAACCAAAGTCGGCTTTGACTATGTCTGAGCACGATAGGTCGGCAACGTGGCCGTTCTCCGCACAATCTGTGGTGTCAGTACTGACAGAGCACGGCCCTCTGCATGTTCCCTAGGGACGGGCTACGCCTTAAACAACCAGCTGGTAAAAATATAAGATCAACGTAAAAGTATAGCGCCAATGCTGCGAGCTTCCTCACGCTTGGTTCCAAGTGTCCCAACATTGATGAAACGGTGGCACCTGTGAGGCGTCTTCCATCGAGAGCAGGCTCTAGATGAAGCATACTGGCTAGAGAACCTTTGAAGCCGAGCCAAATGTGAGATCGCAGTGCAACGACCCGACTGCCGAATAGTGTATATATGAGAGGCTTGTCCACGTGGTGATCCAAACTACCGCAATTTGCGTTGTGAGAACGCGCTCTCTGTGAGACGCGAGCGAAAGAATACCTGATATAAGTCCGCCTGAAACGTAGACTCGGTTAGATTACAAATCTTTCCTCTTCCCTCCAAATCCCATTGGACGCAAGTCCACGTGTATTCATTGGACAGGTACACCTTTCAGATTTTGGATGTCGGTAAGAAAAATGAGAAAGTCCCCAACAATATGCCTCTAGGTTGTTGTACTGATGATGGGTTCACGGTGCGCCTCTGGAGGTGTCCCTACCCAACGGAATTTGCTGAGGAATCTGCACGCTCCGTGTAAAGTCATCGATAAGTGTAAGTTGTAGACTTAGGGGAATAAACGTCTCGAAGAACCTATTAGAGGGAGGCGATTATGAAAAAGTGGGGGAAAATATACGCTTTTCTGCCTTTCCTGGCGAAGAAGCACAAAGCTGAAGAAATACGGTTGTATCAGGAAATCGAGAATGGTCTACGAGCGTCTGTCTCAGTCCATGTTCGAACGTTAGAATTAGAAACTTATCAAGATATAAAATTTTCGATTGAACACAAAGGCCGAAATTTGCAAGTGTGCAGGCAGAAAATAACTTCTGCCAGGAAATACGCGGTCTGCAGTAGACGGCCTGACTTTTTAACGACAAAGTATACAGACCCTCCAATGAGACTGAGCGTGTGCAGGATCTTTGAAGGAAACGTGGTTGCACTATGTTTTTAAATTGGTCTTCCAATCGAAAGTTTGAAAGTAACTCGTCGATATAAAGCCTGACCGTACAGCCATATAAGAAAAAGACACCTGGCACACCTGAGTTAACGAAAAAAATTAAAGTAGCACTGGCCTTTCTACCGAACCATTTAAAATAAGTGTGACCCGTCACCACAGTCGACTTGATTAAAGGTGTTATACTTTATAAACTTGTGGGTTTTTAAGTTAACGCGATCAAAGCTCCCTCTGACCTACTTCTTGGGAATTGCCCGTCAGCACGTCACATTGTCACAAGAGGAATACCGTCGCTTTCTATTCCCAGCAGAAGTTCACGGAATTAATCGGCATTTTCTCTCTCTGTTTACGCGTCGACTGTTCTGTTTCTCCTCAAAAAGACCATTTTAGACGGGATTTTCTGCGTTTTATTTTTGTTGTTTATTGACGCTGTTTCTGACCGTCCCCACATGTCCTAGAATGAAATGAGCTACCATTATTAATTGCCACTTTGCTCCCATCTTATGCGCCTTCCTTAGTCTTCCCATTTATTGTTAATAAACGTCGGGATGATAGAAAGTTTCGAAAAATGAAGGCACATGTAAAATCTGAATTCGGAACCTTTAACTGCGATCTGGAAAAGTGTGGGCAATTTTATTGTCACTGTTTTAGTTCACCCAAAACATTTAATTGCAGACAAATACAACGTCGCCTTTATGACATAAAGACGCGCAGCATGAAGCAACTCATACTTATGAAACAAGAAAAGCTATTGTTCTGCAATGTTGTCCAGGGCAATCTCGTATTCTAAGAAAGTGTCCATTTGAAATTAACTTTGTTGTTGTTGTTGTTGGTTGTTGTTGTTTGCGAACGGCGGTTGACTGCATGAGACCTGGCACGTGTTTCCCTGAATGATAATACAAAGATCCTACTGCGTCAGTCATTTAGCACAGCTGCCTTACTGAACTGGGAAAACTAGAGGTCTTATTGCTTCCATTAAATGCTACCCGAACCTCAGACACTCCCCCTGTGAGAGCTCATATTCTGTGTTGCACGGCTGCAATGAACTTTGATTTGAAACTGCCCGTGCTCTCGAAGGTGATGCAGGAGACTATTGGATTTGTAAACTTAACTATCTGGGTAATCCGCCTAGCTCATTGTCTGCGGACTGCATGGCTGACCTACAGTCGGTTTCAATTTCGCTTGTGAAATTCGCCATCGCTGGCAGTCCCGCATGATGCGTTTATGCCACGATGCCGTACCGGCCACTATGTATGCTGTAAGAAGTACAAGTCAAGTGCCTCAAAGTCTTCTCAATCAAATTTATTTTGTACCCAGCGATGTGGAATCGAGAAGGGAGAGGGCATTACATAATGATAATGTGAGTAACTGTACATACTGAAACAATGGGATTAGACAGTAAAGGTGCTGCACAGTTTACAATAACAAGCAACTGAACAGCAGGACATGGGCAGAGACATCCAGGCAGTAGGCGTTCAATGTGTGCCCAGAAATTCATATCGCGTAGGAAATCACAGTTTCTGTCTGTAGTATTCGCAGTAGGTCTCATGACAGGCACAGCGTTTAATCCACTCAAACCTGTATTCCATCTGACGGCCATCAGTGCAGGCAAATTTCATAAGCTTGGTCTTTGTGAGTACTGGGATACAGCAGGCGTGGGATG